CCCGCGGCCCCGGTACCACTCTGTCTGCGAGATCTGCGGCACCAGGGTCATCTGGAAGAACGGCGTCATCCTCGGCTTCGCGGCGTGAGCGCCGGGGGGTGGCGGAGGGTGGCCGTGGGGCGGGGGGTCCCACTCGCGGCCCCCTGACCCCGCTGTCCCTTAGGTTCATCGGCTCCGGCATCCGCCACTGCTTCACCCGCAACCTGGTCCCCCACCTGCCCCACTTCTTCTCGTCCCACCTGGTGCTGCTGGGCACCGAGGCCGCCGCCTGCCTCTTCGTGTGCCTGACTGCCGAGCGCTTCGGGCGCCGCGCCATCCTCCTGCTCTGCACCGTCCTCACCGGCATCTCCTCCCTGCTGCTGCTGGCCCTCACCCAGTGTAAGGCCCCGGCGGGACCCCCGGCACGCAGCCCCCGGCCCGGGGAAGAGAGGGTCCCTGTCGAGGTGGGTGCGGGATTTGCCCCCTGATGTGCTTCACCCCCTCCCAGACCTGCTGGAGCTCATTGTCCTGGCGCTGTCCGTGGTGGGCACGGCCGCCTCCCACGCCGTCACCGTGCTCAGCATCTTCTTTGCCAGCGAGGTTCTCCCCACCGTGGTCAGGTAAGGGGGAGCTGCCCCCCTCTTGTGCCAGCCCGGAGCGGGGGGCACGGGGCAGGGCCCCCTCTGAGCGTGTTCCTCCCGCAGGGGCGCCGCCCTGGGCTTGGTCCTGGGCGCCAATTTCGTGGGCAAAGCCGCGGCGCCCATCACCGCCATCCCCAACAGCCGCGGCTTCTTCCTGCACCACGTCGTGTTCGCCTCCTTCGCCATCCTGGCCGTGCTCAGCATCATGTTACTGCCCGAGAGCCAGGGCCGGGCCCTGCCCCAGTCCCTGAAGGACGGCGAGAGCCAGCGCCGCCCGCCCCTGTTCCGCCGCCCCGCCCGCGAGGACCACCTGCCCCTGCTGCCCCCCCAAGCCATTCCCCACGACTATTCCCGCCTGGCCGCCTCCACCAAGAGAATGCTGCGCTCCCCGGAC